GCTGAGGCAGGAGAATCACTTGAACCCGGGAGGCGGAGGTTGTGGTGAGCCGAGTTCACGCCATTGCACTCCAGCTTGGGCAACAAGAGTGAAACTCCGGAAAAAAAAAAAAAAAAATTCTCCAGTGGTATCTGTTTGGCCCTGTGAACCCCTGACCAGAACAACAAATTCAAAAGCTTCCTATGGTGCTGGGTTCCACTCCTACAAGGTCAAGTACATTAACAGCGTATGTGGCATCAACTTCTGAATCATGGCGTCGGGCATGGTGGCTCATGCCTGTAATCCCAGCACTTCTGGAGGCCGAGGCGGGCAGATCACCTCAGGTCAGGAGTTTGAGATCAGCCTGGCCAACATGGCAAAACCCCGTTTCTGCTAAAAATATAAAAATTACCCAGGTGTGGTGGTACATGCCTACAATCCCAGCTACTTGAGAGGCTGAGGCAGGAGAATCTCTTGAACCCAGGAGGCAGAGGTTGCACTGAGCCAAGATTGGCGCCATTGCACTCTAGCCTGGGCGACAGAGAGAGTCTCTGAAAAACAAAACAAAACAAAACCAAAACAACGTCTGAATCATTCAAATGAAATTTCTCCTAAAAACCGGGCTTAAATTCTGTTATCTTAGGACATGCAAGTTATTATCTTCCTATATCACTAGGAAAAAATACATAACTCCTTCCTACTTCTGAACTAGTAAGAGCAACCTATGGCAACACCCAGACAAGGCTGGTAAATATACAGTCTACGATCAAAGGAATATTTTTACTAAAGATTCAAGCAGGAAGACTGACAAGTAAAGGCATGAGGCAGTGCTGGTTGAAGAAAGGAGGTAATGAGGTAAAAAAAAAAAAAAAAGATACTTACAATAGGTCTCCCAACCCAATCATAGGCATAGTCAAAGGTGTAGCCTTTCTTTTCAAAGAGGTCTGTGAAGAGGGTCCGTAAATACTCATAATCAGGTTTTTCAAAGAAGTCCAATCGCCTGACATATCGAAGGTAGGTTGCCATCTCCTCTGTCAGGAAAGAGATGAAAGGCCCTGCTCATTAGCTGAATGCTTTCCATAGTGGTTGTAGGGAAGCACTGGGCCACAAAGGGGTTATTTATACAGACAATTTAACACTGATGTTTTCTTTACAGACAAAATAAAAGCAATAAAACCTACTTTGGTCTGTATCACAAAAGGAAATGTTAATTACCTAAACAGCACCCTTATCTAGAGATACCCAGTCATGGACTCTACCTATTTCAAAGCTCAGTCACACTGACTGGAATGTCTTTTTAGCATCCCACCTGGAAAGTTTTCACAGAGAGCTTCAATGGGAGTATTCCTTTTGGTGTCACCAATTTTTTGATATCTCTCTTTTAACGTGTCAGCCTGTAGAGAGTAAAGAGAAAGTTATTTGAAAAGATGTCCTAAGCATGGGAGATTCAATATGTTTTTGGACACAATGGTTGTTTCACTCAAATTCACAATATTTGTTGGTCTTGATTTTTTTTCTAACACAAATAAGAAATGTAGTAGAAATTATATATTTAGATATACACAAACATCTGCTGTGTTCTGGAAAATTTTACTTGCGAAAATATTTAGTTGTCTCAGATAAACACCATCAGATATAATGGATGAGTGGCTAGGATAAGAAAATAACAATATTATGTGGCAATATTTTCAAAATTGCAGAAGCTTAGTAATCTCCCATGGCTACCGTAATTCAATGTGATTCAGCATTCTCTCTTAGATCAGCTCTAAAAGTATTGCTAATTCAGGTGGGGGAAACATAAGTAATTCTACTACATATATATAGAGACTTTGAACAGAAAAAAAAAAAAAACAATAACTGAAAAATGTATTTCAACAACGTGCTTCCACAGGGAAAAAAGTTGTCTATGGTACAGCCATGGCTAGCAGAGTTGGTGTATGTCAGTATCTCAAAAGCAGCCCAAGTCTGGTATGGTCAGAGCTATAGTCAGAGGGCTTTTGAATCCTGGACCAACAGTGGGCTCCTAGGGAATTGTTGTCAGGCTTTACCTAGCTTGCTGCACTCAGACTTAAGCAATAGCGTTCTGAAGTGAGTAGGAGAAATTTTAGGTCTACAACTATCACTAAAATGATTTATGGACGAGAGAGTTTCAAGCAATTAATAATACACTAATGCATTGTTTGGCTGTATGATGACCAAGTTTGACATGAAACTATATTTGAAAGCTATAAACATCAATGAGAAGATGTATGTAACAGGAGAGGAATTTAAGAGTGAAGAAATAACATCTAAAAGGCAATGGGTAGAAGTCTTACGTTTTAGGACAGTATTCTAGAAAGCCTACAGCAAAATGAACCATCCTGCCTTTCTGGAAGACGGGATGTAGGAGTACCCCAAACTACTGATTAAGTTTATTTCCATGTTAGTATGTTGAAATAAATTACAACCAAAAAATATGTCTTGGGCCAGGCGCGATGGCTCACGCCTGTAATCCTAGCACTTTGAGAGGCTGAGATGGGCGGATCACTTGAGGTCAGGAGCTTGAGACCAGCCTGACCAACATGGTGAAACCCCATCTCTACTAAAAATACAAAAAATTGGCTGGGTGCAGTGGCTCATGCCTGTAATCCCAGCACTTTGGGAGGCCGAGGCAGGCGGATCACGAGGTCAGGAGCTTGAGACCAGCCTGGCCAATATGGTGAAATCTCGTCTCTAATAAAAATACAAAAATTAGCCAGGCGTGGTGGCATGTGCCTGTAGTCCCAGGTACTCAGGAGGCTGAGGCAGGAGAATTGCTTGAACCCAGGAGGCGGAGGTTGCAGTGAGCTGAGATCACACCACTGCACTCCAGCCTGGGCAACAAAGCCAGAGTCCGTCTCAAAAAAACCCCAAAAAATTAGCTGAGCATGGTGGCGTGCACCTGTAATCCCAATTACTCAGGAGGCTAAGGTGGGAGAACTGCTGGAACTTGGGAGGCGGAGGTTGCAGTGAGCCAAGATTGCACCAGTGCACTCCAGCCTGGGAAACAGAGCAAAACTCTGTCTCAAAAAAAAAAAAGTCTCACAAAATACTAATGGGACTTACAAGGGGTTAGAAGCTTACCATTTCCTAGTCAAACAGCCAAATGCACAGAGTAATGATAATGCTCATAATTATCATAGTAAACTGACATGTAACCACCGTACTGACACCTACCTAAGGAAGGCTATTTAAACTTTACACATTTTACAGTGAATAGCTATTGTCTGAATAGGCATTTATTCAATAATACACTTGAACAGCAATGTTAAACCTGGATTTTCATTTTAGTTCAGGTGAGTTCTTAGCCTACGTATTTTCTAAGTTTTCCTGAGGAGCACACCCTGCTGGCCTTTCTGGTAAAATGTGTAGCAGCTGTTGTCAACAATTTGTTCCAGAAATTCCCTTACATACTGGGAACACTCCTCCTGCTACATAATGGTAGTGGAGGAGGAATACCAACACAGAGAGAAAAGCAGCACTGTCAAGGCTGGGAGGAAATGAGAGAAAAGATCATGGAAAATCCAAAAACAAGGAAAAATTAAGAAAGGGAAGACAAACAGTGAACAAAACAGTTTCCAAAGCCCAGGAGAGCATTTATAGTGTAGACTAATGTAACTAGTCCTTGTTTCTTATCTCTATAATCAATAATCCTTTTTGTGTTGTTTTAAAAAATATTTATTTATCTTTAAATAGAGATGGCGTCTCACTATGTTGCCGATCTCAAACTCCTGGACTCAAGCAATCCTCCCACCCCAGCCTCCCAAAGTGCTGGGATTACAGGCATCAGCCACCACATCTGGCCAGCCCTCTACACATTTCTTAAAAACATGAAGCCAGAGGCTTCTTCATTAACAACTGAGCATAGCAACAAAGCCCTCCACTGAACACTTTCAAGGATACCTTGAGTCCTTGCCAGGGAAGGCTGCCTCGAAGGAAATACATGAACATATGGCCTAGGGCTTCCAAATCATCTCTCCGGCTTTGCTCTAAAAGGGAAGACAGATCACACATTATGTTTGCAGTTATTACAGCAGAAAAAGGTTCAAAACCAAGTAATCCCTTTAGAAACCCTTCAGTTCTGGAAAGGCTCTGCTTACTCATTACTTGTATATTTAAACCAAGGATAGTATTTTAGATCAAAACCTCAAACCAATGTGTACTTCCTTTGTCTAGATCTGTTGATAGTAAGTAAATATCAAGAGAAAAGAGCAAATCCTGAATTAAAACCAAGCCCAAATCACTAAACAGTGAATTACCACCCCTCACTCAATGCTGTCACCTTCCTGAAAGTGATAAAATTTTAATGAAATGTTATTTCCAGTATATGGGCTACAGTTACACTTTAGTTACCACCACGGAGTGAGTAGCAGATTAAGCAACCCAAACTGTTAAAACAGTCCATTCTGGCTAGGCCTGCAAAGATACAAGCTGCAAAATGCCTAGCAAACATGCCAAGTGCTTTTTATTCATCATAAAAATTAACACTTAAAATTCAGTTTCATATCAATGAACATCAGTACATACTCTCTTGGCTCCCATTCAATTTGTACCATCTCCTATAACCTCAAAAACATTTTAAAATTTATTACTAAGGTCCCCTCAAAATTAGATGGGTAAGGCTGCACACATCTGTAGTCCCAGCTACTTAAGAGGCTCAAGTGAGAGGATCGCTACGGCCCAGGAGTTCAAGATAAGCCTGGGCAACATAGTAAGACCTCATCCCAAAACAAAATAGAACAAAAAATCAAAGTCCCTGCATTCTGGAAGCGTATCTAAAACAAGTTGCTGGGTTTTTCTCTCCTTTTAACTGGGAAGGTGAAGATGACAAAGAACTGCAAAATAGTTAACACAAAACTGCAGCTTCATCTCAGAAAACATCCTACACATTCTTTGTTGGACAGAATCTAAGTAGTACACATCTTCTTTTTTCTTCTTTCTTAAAGACAGAATCCTTGCTCTGTTGCCTAGGCTGGAGTGCAGTGTTGTGATCATGGCTCACTGCAGCCTCAAATTCCTGAGCCCAAGGGACTCTTCTGCCTCAGCTGAGTAGCTAGGAATCTAAGTGTGTGGAATGACACTCGGCTAATTTATTTATTTTTATTTTTTGTGAAGATGGGGTCTTGTTATGGCTGGTCTCAAACTACTGGCCTCAAGCAAACCTAATACATCAGCCTCCCACACTGTGGGATTACTCATGTGAACCACCGTACCCAGCCCATGCATTCATTTTGAATTTGCCAATTATGATTTAGTCTCAGACTTTTTTTTTTTTTTTTTTGAGACAAGGTCTCACTCTGTTGCCTAGGCTAGAGTGCAGTAGCATGATCTTGGACACTGCAGCCTCGCCCTCCTGGGCTCAAGTGATCCTCCCACCTCAGCTTCCTGACTAGCTGGGACTACAGGCATGCACCACCACTACTATCACCCCGGCTACTTTTTGTATTTTTTATAGAGACTGGGTTTTGCCATGTTGCCCAGGCTGGTCTGGAACTCCTGGGCCAATCAAGCAATCAACCAGCCTTGGCCTCTCAAAGTGCTGCGACTACAGTGTGAGCCACCACACTTGGCCCATCTCAGACATTTTATGTGTTTATTTTTCATAATCAAGTTTAGGGCTTTATCAGAATAAACGACAGAAGCAAGACTAAGAGGCTACCTTCAACTTGATTGTGCTTTCTTTGTATAGAAAGTAAAACCCAAGAGAGCCAGAGAAAGCCACTCAGCTAACTCAAAATACAGAAGTACAACATGTTTAACTACTGCCTTAAATTATAGGAAATTTGCATGAAAAAGAATAGTAGTCTACAGGGTAGATGAAGAAAGAAAAGGCAACTTTTAAAATAGCGATTTGATGGAGGTTGTAAAAACATGGTTACTAATGGAAAGGAGGGGTACCCTGACAGAGATAAATAACATAAAACCGAGTTGGTATACATCAATTGAAACAATCTTAAAAAGAATGAAATAAAACAGCACAACCATCAGAATCCTTTGTCTACATGACTTGTCTGGTTTGTAATAAAATATTCACAATTGAAAACAAAAAAGTAGTTATACAAAAACAGTGTGTTGACAGAATCTAAAGATGCACAAATGAAAAAGAGAAAAGAACAAGGAGAGTGAGTGGAGGCCTCCCACAAAGCAGGGCAGATAGAAAAACGACTCTGCAGTTTCTCATACTGTATCACACCCACTCATCGCCTCTCCATTTTTATATCCACTTCCTGTAACAAGAGGCCCCTTGGTTATTAAAAATTCACTGGACAAATGTTTGAATTTTAGATAGTTGAGCACTAGAGGGCAAAACTCTCCATATTTTCAATATTGATCAGGCCTACAGAAAAAAGATTTCACAGCAAAATAAATTATGAGATTAAAAAATTGTTTAAACTCACTGGAATAAGTAATAAAGTAACTTTTCAAATCCTGAGAACTATGAAAAAGAACTGTAGAATATGGGACAATAGGAAAAAGAAGGGTTCCTAAATCAGGAAGGGTACTTAAATAAGGGTACCTAAATAAGGTACCTAAAATAAGGGTACCTAAATCACCAGCCATGCTTTATTTTCATACGACTTTGAACACTCCACACTTGTCCAATTCATTATTTCTACATGCCCTCATTTCTTCATGCAGAATATTTTCATTTTCAAAGAAGAAAGGTTTCCAATACCAGTGAGACCAGCAGGACACAAAATTCTTCAGTTCTTCTGACTGGTTGAACGGTGTGCTTTCATCCAATCAGAAAGATGTGCTTGGTTTACATGCATAACATCCTTGATTTTAGGTTAAATATATTTGTTGAAGGCAGGGGGCAAGGCAACCCAGTGTTCTCACCCTAATTTCAACCATTAAATAATATAAATTGGGCTGTCTCAGTCACAGCTTAATCAGTGGAAAGGTGGCTGCTATGGTAATAGATTTCTGTCTTCCCCCGGACCCCCCAACACACAAACCTCACATTGAAATTTGATCCCAATATTCAAAGTTGGGCCAAATGGAATGTGTCTGGGTCATGGGGGTAGATCCCTCATTAATTGATTAATGACCTCCCTTAGGGATGAGTTCCCAAGAAAGCAGGTTGGTGAGAAGAGCCTAGCACCCCCTTCCCCATGTGATCTGCACATGCTGGCTGCTCCCCTTCCCCTTATACTATGAGTGGAAGCAGCATGAGGCCCCTGAGGCCCTCACCAGATGCAGATGCCAGTGCCATGCTTCTTGTACAGCCTGCAGAACTCTAAGTCAAATTTAAATGTCTTTTCTTTATAAAATGACCCAGCCTGAGGTATTCCTTTATAACAACACAAAATGGACTAAGTGTGGCTACTCTGATGTGGCAACTAATGTAAGGTTTAGGAGGATTCTTCTCTTGTTCTCCTCCTCCATAAAACTAAGAAGTGATTTTCCCAAAGCCATTTGAAAACACATATCCCAGTCCCTTCTTCATTGCAACACAAAAAATGCAACACATTTAAAAACCAATAGCATTGGAGTTCCTACAAAGACCTCTATCGTTTGAGGCATGGGAAAGGGTTTAAAAAGCAGTGACAACTTTCTGTATGTATTCTCTGTAATGTGGAGAATACAAAATATGATGACAGGTTAGATGTGACCTGGAAAACTCTGGTACTCAGTAAGCCAAGTCTGGGGGTAAACTCAAAAGTTCCGGCAGGAATGGCAGTACACCAAGAGACGTAACAGTCTGATGCACAGTAGATGCTTAAAACAGATTTTGTTGAATAAATAACAATCAGGATAATTACAATATGGACTGATAAGGCATTATGCTAAACATTTTACATACATTATCTCAGAACCATATATTACAGGCATAAATATCATATCCATTTCATACATGAGATAACCAAGGCTAAGGGAAGAAGGTTATTGGATCAAAATTACATAGCTATTAAGTAAGAGCGCCAGGATTTGCATACTTTTTCTTAACCACTACTCTTTATCTTATACAAACACAACATGAACACCCATCCCTTGTCTGTTCTTGTCTTTCCTCTTAAAAACAATAAAATTAGTACACGAACGGCTGAGCCCAGGAAGTGGGCATTAAAACAACTTCTAGAGTTTGTCAGTTAAACCACACAATCATAAGTTTATTATTTAAGATACAGTTTTTGTTTCCTTGTAAAATGGAAAAGTACTTGTCATTATGAAGGAAGAAGGGGATGCTAAGCACTATGCAAGAGACCTAAGTCAGACATGGTGCTTTCACATATATTATCCATTCAACCTTTAAAATATCCTTGTGAAGCTTTACCCTCATTTTACAGAGGAGTTTCAGTGAGATTAAGTAACTTGTCCACAGTAACGCTGATAATAAGAGCCAGAGGACTTCTAGTCTAATTTTAAAGTATTACATTTATTTAAGTGAGGATTTCCATGTGGTTACTGAAAAAATCCTGATAACATCATAATTTCAAATCAAATTGTATCATACTACTTTGTAATGTCATTTTTTACTCTTCACTATCACTTGAATTTCTCAGGTGAATAACTGCTGTAGTTTACTCAATGAGGCTACTTAGTAGATATTACATTAGTCTTTAAAATACTTATTAAAGTGCAGGCCAGGCACGGTGGCTCACATCTATAATCCCAGTGCGCTGGGAGGCTGAAGCAACAGGATCTCTTGAAACCAGAAGTTTGAGACCAGCCTGGGGAACATAGTGAGACTCTGTCTCTATAAAAAAATTTAAAAGTTAGCTGGACATGATGGCATGCGCCAACAGCCCTAGCTACTGAGGAGGCTGAGAAAGATCTCTCCAGCTCAGGTGACTGAGGTTATAGTGAGCTATGATCACACTGCTGCACTGCAGCCTGAGTGAGAGTGAGATTCTGTCTCTAAAAATAAAATAAATATGCTGGGCACAGTGGCTCACACCTGTAATCCCAGCACTTTGGGAGGTCAAGGCAGATGGATCACTTGAGGTCAAGAGTTCAAGACCATCCTGGTTAACATGGTGAAATCCCGTCTCTACTAAAAATACAAAAATTAGCCAGGCGTGGTGGTGCATGCCTGTAATCCCAGCTACTCGGGAGGCTAAGGGAGGAGAATTGCTTGAACCCGGGAGGCAGAGGTTGCAGTGGGCTGAGATTGCATGACTGCACTCCAGCCTGGGTGATAGAGTGAGACTCCATCTCAAAAAAACAAATAAATAAATGAAATAAATACATCTTAGTGTGCAGTAGTTCATTAATATTTAAGAATATTTTATAATTATTTCTGTCTAGGAGTATGGAATCTGAGAATATTCTGCTTGTGTACGCTCTAGAATATTGATTTTCAAACACGTTTTTTTCAATCACCTAGGAGTCTTTTCTCCAAATAGAGTCTTCCATCGAAGCCCAATATACGAAACATAAAAAAGGGAGGCTTTTTTTGAAGCAGAAAAGCCCAGGGCTCTGCCTGCTTGGTCTCCCCACTGTTCCTTAGGCTTCTCTGACAAATACTCTCCCCCTTGGAATAGTTCCTCACAGGTAAGGTCTTCTGCCTTGATTAGAGCATTTAACAACATTTGTGCAAGTTGTTTATCCTGAGTAAAATGCAAAACTAATGGGAAACCAAGCATATTTTCACTGAATAAGACAGAAGCTCTTCCTTGAAGACTTCTGTGCAGAACTACGTGCAGTGAATAGAAGTCTACTCCATTTTTAGTGAGGCACTCTTCCCCACAGCTGACCCAGCCTGATGTCCTTTTCAGGACTGTCATAAATGGAGTCACACATAAGTAAATACCAAATTCATTACTAAACTCACTAAAATGCTATCCTCTTTTTACAATAATTCAAGTACTCACACTGCTCAGAAACTAAACATTTGGAAGTACAGTGTAAAGAATTAAGAACCTATGCATAGTCTATAGGATTCTTTGAAAAGTCATTAACTTACCATCTCAACTTCTCATATATAAAAATCACTTAACCTTGTGAAGCAATAAAAACCACAAGTTGTAATGCACAATGACGATATAAGTGTTACAGGAATAATAAACTGTTCTAATGACTTGCCCCTTTCATGGAACAGAAAAAAACACACCTTTGCCAAGATGCGTGTTGATAGACATATATCTTGCAGTTCCAGTTAAACTTTTGTGTTCCCTATAAGGTATGTGTTTTTTGGTTTCGGGGTCAATGTATTCCTTGGCCAGTCCAAAGTCTATAATGTGTATAACATGTTCTTTCTTATTGCCTTGTCGACCAATCAGGAAGTTCTCTGGCTTGACATCTCGGTAAATGAGGTTCTTTGAGTGTACATATTCCATTCGAGAAAGCTAAAAGAGAAATAAATGATGGAAATACTCTAAAGAAGTATATCAGGAAAATACATCAAAACATTTTCTTTAATGAGACCAAGGTTTTAATTACTGAAATAACATAAAATTTATCTCCTTTCATCACCCAGAGTCACTTCACTAACTTGTAAACAAAAAAATATTTTGTTATAAATATGTACATAACAAATATCAAGACTAGGAAAAGAAAGTGAGAGAGTACAGGTCTACTAAAATGATAGCTCAATTTTACCTCATAATGTCACAATTTGCAAATGACGAATGAAATTAGTTGTTTATATGCTACTTCAGAAAATTAAGCACTTGAGAGAAAAGAAGTATTCCCAGGTACGATATCAAACTGTTGGTGACCTTTGAGACAAATGCCACTGCCACATTCACCTTCTGCCCACATCTTCCTATCCTTAGTTGGACAAGACTACCCAACCCAACTTTCGATGTTGTGAGGCCCAGAGAAGTTAATACTGGACTGACATCACATAGCTAATTAACAGCAGAGACAGGGAAACAGTTCATTATTATTATTGTTGTTATTATAATTATTATTATTCTTTGAGATGGAGTCTTGCTCTGTCACCCAGGGTGTAGTGCAGCCTCAGCCTCCTGGGTTCCAGCAATTCTTGTGCCTCAGCCTCCCGGGTAGCTGGGATCACAGGCACGTGCCACCATGCCTGGCTAATTTTTGTATTTTTAGTAGAGACAGGGTTTCACCATGTTGGCCACACTGGTCTCAAACTCCTGACCTTGGGTGATCCGCCCTCCTCAGCCTCCCAAAGTGCTAGGATTACAGGCATGAGCCACCGTGCCTCCCCAAAACAGTTCATTCTTGTTGTTTTAAATTTATTTGAAGATTATTTTTGTAGAGATGGGGTCTATGTTGCCTAGGCTGGTCTCAAACTCCTGGCCTCAAGTGATCCTCCCACCTCAGCCTCCCAAAATCCTGGGATTATAGACATGAGCCACCATGTCGGCCAGGGCTACAGTTTTTATGTTAAGTTAAATATAATAAAAAATAATAATCATAAGAGTATTTCAAATTTTATTAAGTATTTCTATCTACTAAGCTTTTCTAGTAACTTTTTTTTTTTTTTTGGAGACGGAGTCTCACTCTGTCTCCCAGGCTGGAGTGCAGTGGCGCGATCTCAGCTCACTGCAAGCTCCGCCTCTCAGGTTCACACCATTCTTCTGCCTCAGCCCGCCGAGTTGCTGGGACTACAGGCGCCCGCCACCATGCCTGACTAATTTTTTATATTTTAGTAGAGATGGGGTTTCATCGTGTTAGCCAGGATGGTCTCAATCTCCTGACCTCGTGATCTGCCGGCCTCGGCCTCCCAAAGTGCTGGGATTACAGGCGTGAGCCACCATGCCCAGCCCTTTTCTACTAACTTTTAGTAGAGAAAGAGAAGCTCAGATATTTGAATTTGGGGCTCAAAAGTCAAAGTCAATTAGCTCACATTTCCAAATTTTTATAGGACAGTGGGAGAGACCATTACCATTTCAAATAAATGAAGATATATTTGCATCATTCCCCAAAGGGCTTGTGTCAGACTTCTCAAAGGAACTGTAGGAACTGCTTATTAAACTGGTATTGGGGTGTAATTTGGTAGGCGCTACAAGAGCTGCCTCTTCAGCTGAAATTTGTCTCTGAGAGAACTGGAGGCCAGAGAACTACCACAAATTCCTGGTCACGCAATTGTGAATCTGAGTGTTAGTGCAATGGGTTATATCGTCAATATTTTCTTGGTTGCAACACTGAAGGAAGAGATAGGACATGACAAAACCTTACAGCTATATTTAAACCACATAAATAGGCTGGGTGCAGTGGTTCATGCCTGTAATCCTAGCACATTGAGAGGCCGAGGTGGGAGGACCAGTTGAGACCAGGAGTTTAGACCAGCCTGGGCAACATAGTGGGAGCCTGTTTCCACAACATTTTTTTTAAAAATGAGCTGGCATGGCACCTGCAGTTCTAGCTGCTGCAGAGGCTGAGGCAGGAGAATCGTTTGAGCCTAGGAGTTTGAGGTTTCAGTGAGCTATGATCATGCTACTGCACTCTAGCCTGGGTGACAGATACCCTGTCTCAAAAACCAAAAACAAAACAAAACAAAATCAAAAAAATTATTCACATTTTTACAACTCTATCTAATCATCCTCTTTTCCCCTAATCTAAATTATATACTTCCTCTTCAGTTAAGGGCAGAGCATTGCTCCAAGGTGCAAAGTCTTAAAATAGAGCAAATTGCAGATGTAGTATGACTTCTCTGAATTTACCCTTTTTGCCCCAGCCAGCTTCCCAGAATGCCATCAAGCCTGTGAGTACTAATTCTTGATGTGTCGCTATGGTTAGTAAATCACCAAAGGCCCACAAGGATGTGGCTGAGGAACCAGCCTATTCTCTTCCAGAATAGCAATTCCAACTTACCAACTGAATGGCTATCATTAACACCGTCTTCAAAGTAAATGTTCGGTCACAGAGGTCAAACAAGTCCTCCAAGCTAGGGCCAAGGAGCTCCAGCACCATGGCATTATATTTCCCACATGGTCCAAAGTAATACACCTGTGGGAGACCTTCACCTGAAAGCAGAGGGGAAATGGGGGTATAAAGTGGGAGACACAAAAGCCAAAATATGAGATAATGGTATTAGCACTGAACAAAATATTTTTAAAGGTACAATTTGTGAGATTTCCATTTTCTTTCATAGTCCCTACTGGAAACTTAAATTGAGCACAACAGCTTCAATGGGAACTAATAATGATGGGAAAGGCTAAGTCATTGCATAATATGTTCAAATGAGTAGTTATTTAATACCACAGTGCCAAAAACATTTCCACTGCTATAAGATAGAGAATGGTCCCTGATCCATTAGATCTTCCCAAAAGGATGCCTGAAAGTGCAGTATCGTAAAAGGCTCAAAGGATGGCTCACTGAGCTCAAAGGCCAGCTAACAGAACTTGTTACATTAGCTGGTTCATGAGCACTCCCTATGCTTACTGCCATAGCCACATGGGTTATTTGGAACTGTTGCCCTATGGAGAACTCAGATTGAAAAGGCAAGGTCACAGAGAATGCAGCCTGGTACCAGGCCAGCACAACTGGCCCTCTTTTCACAGGGAGTCTCTATAGTTTTTTGTTTTCTATCAGCTGGAGAAAAGTCAACTAACCAAAACTTAGTGTTTGGTTGCTGATAAGTACTGATGAAAGGAAAAGGGGGAAAAAACACAAGGCTGGGTTTTCCCCAGATCTGAAATTCATAGCTATTAAGAAGCCAAAATCCAGACTTTTTCACCTAAGTGGCAAATTGTGAATAAATTTCCTTTATAAAGTGCATCGTAAATATGAGGCATTCACTAAATATATAACTGGTACCATGAGAATAGTAGATATTAAATAAGATTACAGAGGCCAGGCACGGTGGCTTGGGAGGCCGAGGTGGTCAGGAGTTTTGAGACCAGCCTGGCCAACATGGTGAAACCCTGTCTCTACTGAAAATACAAAAATTAGCTGGGCGTGGTGGCACACACCTATAATCCCAGCTACTCAGGAGGCTGAGGAAGGAGAATCATTTGAACTCGGGAGGCACAGGTTGCAGTGAGCTGAGATGGCGCCATTGCACTCCAGCCTGGGTGACAGAGCGAGACTCCATCTCAAAAAAAAAAAAAAAAAAAAGATTACAGAACACTTAAAAAATTATCTGGTTTCATAGAGCAGAAACATTCCCATCTCACACATTTATGTATATAGTGGTCTACAGTTGTATATGTTGTAGATTATTGTTTGCTTGTTCCTCTAAGTGTTTTAACTTGAGACAAGGTCTCAATGTCACCCAGGCTGGAGTGCAGTGGTGAGATCTCAGCTCACTGCAAACTCTGCCTCCCAGACTAACGCGATCTTCCCAGCTCAGACTCCCAAGTAGCAGCTGGGACTGTAGGCTTGCTCTACCACACCAGACTAAGTTTTTGATTTTTTGTAGAGATGGGATCTCACTATGTTACCCAGGTTGGTCCTGAACAACTCTCAAGCTCAAGCAATCCTCCCTCCTTTGCCTCCCAAAGTGCTGGAATTATAGGCATGAGCTACTGTGCCTGGCCCCATTCCCTTTTTATTTCTATGGGTGGGATATAGGCAGATGTACATCTAACACATACTTCTCTCAAGGATAGGTCTCACATATTTGGAATTAATAACTATTTCATATATTGTATTAGTCTATCTTGATTCATCAAATCCTAAACAACTTTTTTTTTTTTTTGAGACAGAGTCTCATTCTGTCACCCAGGCTGGAGTGCAGCGGCGCAATCTTGGCCCACTGTAACCTCCGCCTCCTGGGTTCAAGCAATTCTCGCGCCTCAGTCTCCCAAGTAGCTGAGATTACAGGCATGGTGTCCAGCAATTTTTTTTTGTATCTTTTGGAGAGACAGGGTTTCGCCATGTTGGCCAGGCTGGTCTTGAATTCCCGACCTCAAGTGATCTGTCCGCCTCAGCCTCCCAAAGTGCTGGGATTACAGGCGCGAGCTACCATGCGTGGCCTAAGCCCTAAACAACTTGAACATTTTCTTTAAATATGTTTATTCCTAGCTTGTATCCTCTAATATACATTACTCCTGCTAGTTCAACAAATATCTGTTCAATTGTTTTTGTGGTTGTTTTGATTCTTCCTATCTCCAAAAGAGAAAAGGATTTAATTTGAAGTGTCTTTTTTTTTTTTTTTTTTTTTGAGATGG